GCAATCATCCGTCAATACTCAAAAATTCATCATCCTCACTTCAAACTTTTACACGTTTACATCCACTACAAAATTTCATCCCCTCATCAAAATACCTGAGAGTCCAGCCCAAACCAAAACCTCCTACCCCCCCCCCCCCACATACACACACAAAAAAAAAGTATTTGAAGTGAAGTTTATGCGCCTATAGTGCTTAAGTTATAGCAAAGTTTTATAAATGTAATTTATAAGTTATAAACTTAACATTTTACCATATGTGCATGTACTATAGATGCTAAAACAAATGATTAAATAATTGCCATTTTTTTATTTCACTGCTCTATGAGCAAATAAGCTTTCTTCCATTGTTCATCATCATCATCATCATCATCATCATCATCATCATCACCATCATCATCATCATCACTATTATTATTATCATTATTTTTATTATTATTATTGTTATTATCATTATTAATTATAGTTATTATTATTATTATTATTAATTTCAGCATAACATCACGATTTCTCTTATCAGTAAATGACACAATTATTTTCTGAATCAATCAATTAATCGATCAATAAATAAAAACTGTCAGGTTTTTTTTGAAGCGTGATATTAATGGATTAATATGGAGATTTCATTCTTTTATAAACCGTCACATCTTAGATATGGGGTGAATTATGATAAAGTTCGTAACTAGTGATTTTATTGACCCGGAGTAAAACAGATTGATTGAATTCTTTCACAACTTGCTTTGATATAAAATTATAGTAAATATTTCACTGTCAATATTTATCGGAGCGCGTTATTTTACTATGGAGATAAAAGCGAGGTTCGTTCGTGGCCTGTCAACACGCAAGGGCTTTGCGCTCTAATCAGATCACCTTGAATAGTGCAAACATGTGGACAAAAGTACATAGAGGGCTTTTATATTGTTGAGAGAAAAATCTGTAATGGCGGAAATGATTATTAGAAATGACGATTATTACAATATTGAGGTGATAAAAGTAGATTTGTATCCGATTACATATTTGTTCTTGTCAGATAATGATGGTAGCACGGGTTGTGATTTAAATTTTAATATATATCTAAAGACGCTTAACCTACATGGTGTTAGCATTACATAACTTTACACTTTTATATGTTTTTATTATCTGATATACAATACAGAATTGAGGCTCGTCACGACAAAATCAACATAATGGGTTTGCGACCAGCATGGATCCAGACAAGCCTGCGCATCCGCGCAGTCTGATCAGGATCCATGCTGTTCGCTTACAAACCCTATAACAAGTGGAGAAACTAATAGCGAACAGCATGGATCCTGATCAGACCCATTATGTTGGTTTTGTCGTGACACGGCTCAGATGACAGTAAATTTTGTCTGAGATAAATGGAACAGTTTTAATAACTTCATGTATAAGAGAAAAACGTTAAATGAACAATGCTCTAAGATGTCGTTCGGATGCGCAACATTAAATCACTCGGGCTACACCCTCGTGATGTAATTTCTCGTATCCAAACTCCAAACAGTGATTTTATTTAGCGAAAAATCACTGTTAGGGATATATTATTTCTAAATAAATAAGTAACTCTTATTTGGTATATCAATAATTTGGTATAACTAAAATTTGGCATGCGTCTTTTGTTACTTTGACTTTAAAATGGTATAAACGTTGGGCATAAAAAATAAAATCTATATGAAGGCCCTCAAGGGAAATAATTCCGGTCAACGTTGAGCGACTTCTATGAGAACTTTGAAATAGCGACATCCGTCGATATAAAACGGTACAGTCTTAAATAAAGATGATGACTAATAGAATAGAATAGAAGAGAAGAGAATAGAACAGAATAGAATAGAACAATACAGAAAAGTTATAAAAGTGGAATTTTTAATAAATCTTATTTTGATTTAACAATGTTTGACACTTTAAAATATCATGTGAGATACATTTTACAATAAGATGTAAATTTCGTGGATTATATCTTCATTAATAATAGCATGAATAGCTCAAATCAGGTAAGGGAGATAACTATTTCCCTGCAACACACAATTCAAGCATGAGTAGCTTCCCTGTGAAATGTTTGCTTGACGTAGTTAAACAAACACTTAATTTATTTATCCGCATTGTTTGTTTAAAAGATATCAAAACACTCTATAGATATCTTTATCTTTGTTTTTAATGATATAAATGTATGTATATGAAAAAAGATGAGTTTCTAGTTTTTAAAAAATACCTTGAAATTGATTTTAATAGTAATATAAGATATGTTATCTCATTCGACAATAGATGAATAAATCAGAGCTGAACAGAACAGAACGGATCATATTATAGCTAAAGTAGCCCGGAGATTATAAAGTAATTCTTCAAGCTCAAACTTAGATCTCAGGTATTTGATTGATCAGAAACTGCCACGGATTGTACACTGACCAATAAAAATTATGCAATTTGAGACAGAACTCAAAAAAGTATTAAAACATCTAGGACAATTATCATTATAATGAACGAGTGTCCATTTGTATGTATTTTAAATATATAAAAATGAGTGTCAGTCAATAAATGGTAAAAAATGAGATTAGAGTTATTCCCCTTTCTTTAGGTTTTGGATATCATACATACTTCAACGTTTATAGAAATCAATCAATTATTTTAATTGATTTTAATTGATTAATCAATTGATTAATTAAATGTAATCCAAACCGTTGACTGTATAGATTGTATGGTATTTCTATTGATATATTAACCTGTCACTGATACGTGGGTGCGAAGTGCGACACTGTAATATAAACCTTTATTGTGATCGGCCATTCCGTGACTTACATATTTATTTAAGTACCATTGAATATTAAATACTATACTCTTATAGGTATCCCCGAGTATAAATATATTCAAAAATATTTAGACAAAACTAACACTATCCAAACTGTATACACGGGGTCAATTTAATATAAAGAGGGGAAAAAAAGATAGGTTGAACATTTTCACTGGTTTTAATATACAGGTGATAATGTTTTTACCTAAATATAAACATGTGTAGTGTCTGTAAAATTTATGACTATTATTGTTATCATCATCATCATCATCATCATCATCATCATCATCATCATCATCATCATCATCATCATCATTATTATTATTATCATTATTATTATTATTATTATTATTATTATTATTATTATTATTATTATTATTATTGCTATTATTAAATTTATTAACGAAAAAAGTATAACATATTAGCATCGAGAATTGAACAGCTACAATAAAAAAAACTTGATTTAGTGCGAGAATACATTCTTTTGTAACTTCAATCATTAAATTTGCCATTTAACGAAAATCACGAATCTAGAACCCTACTGGGGGTTAACTATCCTTAAATGTTAACATGTATATAACTATTATCGTTATACATACATGTACGAAGAAACAATTTCAAACATTCGAGTAATATTTTAGTACTTTTAAGTTTATAGTGGCAGTCAATCTCGGGTTGAATTTGTATTTATACACCTGATAATGCATGTATTGAATTTCAAAATGATACCTTAGTTTTTTTTATCTCTGTCTAAGGTAGTATTGAATATATGTTAACAACGAGAGATTTTTTTTCTTTATTTTGACAATTGATTAGGGCCATTGACATTAGGTAACTATTCCACGCGGTGATATTTAGACGCACGTGTGTATGAATACACCACCAATTAAGTTAAAAGCTGAATTCAATTTAGAAATTAAAAAAAAAAGTGCATAGCTTTTTTAAAGTATGACATGGCATTTCTATCCCGAGTGATTTAAATTTCTGCCTACAAATTATTTATCTCCCAACGCTATGGGGTTTATACCCACGAGTAATTCTTTGTATGGAAGCATCAAACAAGCTTGCTGGTGTCAACGTGTGCATGAAATATGCAATGACGGTTATTCGGGGTCTTCCTTACTTAGTAAAACCTTTAAAAGTTGCTAGATCATCTTATAAATGTTGGTGTGGATTCAGATAAGTCTGAAAATCCAGTATTTTAATGAATATAGGTATTTTGAGAAGTGGCGTTCTAACACAAGAATATATCAATCAGGTATAAGACATGATGTAGAACAGTACAAAACAGACCTGGTCGTGGTACAAAGCAATATATGAGTAACAGCGAAAAAGAACACAATATAAAAACAAAACAAAAACAAAAAACAAAAAAAAACTAGATAGTAGAACTAGTGTAGAGGATAACAGAACAGAAGACACTACAAAATTATATTGAAAATAAACGCGGCAAACAGATCATAAATATATGCAGGATCACAATAAAAGAACAATTATGTCAGAAAAATAAATTGGTAGCACAATAAGCGGTAAACAGAATTGTGTTTTTTTTTCAAGTACAGTTTTGATGAGCATTATTGAATAAACTTAAACTGTTTCATGACGCTGTACTCAAAAATGAAGTAATACGAGTATACGGCAAATATTAAATAAAACTATAGTTTTTTTGTTGTTGTTGTTTTTTTTTTTCATTTGAAAAGAATATCTTAAATGTCCGATTTCATTAAACTTTTTTTCCTTTGTTATTAATCTTAATTTTCTAAAATCACCCTTGTATAAAACAGCATGATATAAAAAAGAAGGTTAAAAACTAGTATCCCTGGTTCGTGTTAAGAACGCGGGGGCCGAATTTTCGCCCGATACATGAATGACTGATATATATTAAGCTGTCATGTATTTTTAATATATAACAATAACTTTGATATAATATTTAAGTTTTATGAACCCACTTGTTATAACACATCAAGACGATATTTTACACTCTCGGCTTAAAGGTATAAAGACAGAAGATAAACTATTGGGGTTCACATCGGGAAACGAATGGTCTAAATTAATCTAATTTTATTGATAAAATCGCAAAGCAGTGTCTATTCGGTAGATTTATGGTTTTAAATATATTATTTAAACAAATTACCCTTCTATTCAATATAAGAAGATATTTTAATTGTAAATGTTTTTAGTATTGATCAAGGCCCTTTCAGAAAAGCGCTTGTCTGCCTAATTCAAGCTTCCACAAGACCGGAGCGACACTTTAACTGCGGCGCTATTCTTAACTTGAAGACTACCCCACGGAGTGATAAATGCGGAGATTTACCATTGTATTAAAACGTATCAATGTATATATAAAATAATTTAGCTTCGGTATGATACCTCCTTCGAAGTATTTGTTGGTGAGATATTTAACAACTAGACTACATAGATAAAATGTGCCGTTGACACAGAGTATAGTTTCAAATGGAATATCCTAAACTCCGTTGGTGAACACTATCAATTAAGAAATGACGGACACGAATATAAAAAGGAGAGTTACGAAAGACAGCGAGGAGAAGAGTGAAAGTAACGCGAACAGTAAGGACGATGAAAATTTGATGCAAAACTGGAGTTTAACTTTCACGGAATATGCTGTAAATAATCAGTATCCTGGAGAATTTGGAGTGAAAGGCATGGACAATAGTCCGGAACACAGCTCAGAACACCTCCGATCATCCCGTCCACCCGACGGTCGGGGTTACCATCTTGATACTGGTAGACAACCAAATAATCTAGTCGATCCTGTACAAATACACGGAATATTCCAAGCTGGGAGGCAGTCAGAGAACACAAATGTTGCTACTGAAAAGATTGACGTTCAGCTGCCGCAAGCAGAACAATTAAGTGAAGATAAACAGTCTGTCAGTATTGAAGGAAAAGCCATGAGTATTGCTAGGTCACGTGACAAAACTAGTGCACGGACGCGAGAGAGAAACAGTGCACAGCTTAAGAAAAGTGAAAACGCCTCAGTTAAAAGTAATAGGGAAAGTCCTTCTGAGGATATGTCCGAAAAGAATTTACGTGATTATCATGAACGCTTTCAAGGCATTCAAACGGGTCAAAGACATGGAGACCTTAGTGTGCATTCTGTGTTGCCTGCTATAGGTAATCGACAAAGTTCAAGAGAAAAACCGGAAATAATGCGGGTCGGCAGACGTTCACAGGCGGGAAATATACGAAACACTCCTCCGCCGAAAAAAGATGGTTACGGCGGCAAAGTTCAGCCTATTTATGTAAGGCTTCCTGGACAACGAACCGGTCAAATGATGTTGTAAGTTTATATTTGGAAAATTAAATAGCCACAGCTTCACGGAATAAATGTTTCTAGTGAGCAAAACATAGAAAAGTATAGGACTAATCGTATATCATCGCGCAGCTATCTAGTAAAACTAGTTCATATGTCTCTGTTAGTATTCGTTAATAAACATTTACAATATTAAATTGGTATCTTTAAGCGTGTGGGAAGCACTAGCAAACTACGCTAGGGTATTGTGCATTAAAAAGCTGTTTTTATTAAAATTAATAAACAGGAGTTGATGGGATTATAGGATTTTCCTAGCTTTGAGAAAAATAAACATGCCAATTAATCGATATTAATGATTCTAAACGAAATTTGATAATGAATATTTTCGGGTTTCATGGGAAATGATAAATCTTTCTTTCTTTTCTTTCTTTCTTTCTTTCTTTCTTTCTTTCTTTCTTTCTTTCTTTCTTTCTTTCTTTCTTTCTTTTTTTTCTTTCTTTCTTTCTTTTTTCTTTCTTTCTTTCTTTCTTTTTTTCTTTCTTTCTTAAGATACTGATGTTAGGTTGAATTCGAAAGAGAAAGGTTTTTATTAGCATTTTTACAATGTTTTATTATATATTTTATACACGATTTCTTTTTTTAGTGCGTGTGCGTGCGTGTGCATTTTTTTAATATCTATCCCTGTTAAGTGGTAGTGGTAATGGGTGGGTGAATTTGTGAATTATAGATACTGAAAATTATACATGTAAAGTTAAATTATAGTGAATAATGGTTTTGCTTTGTTTTACTATAAGCTTTAAATCCTAAGACAATGGACAACTGTTCTAAAGATTCATTGGGGGAAAAACAACAGAACAAAAACTTTTGATCTAATATATTTGCGTTATCTTAACAAGTTTTACATTGCAAAAACTTTATCCCATTATTTATAACACGACAAAACACGGAATTGTTCTTAACTGTTTGTGCAATACTGCATACTAATTTTCTTTACAAATACTTTTCAGATTAAATCATACCAAATTCAAGATATCTTTGTTCGGAGGCGAAAAATAGAGATACGAAGATAAAGCCCAATCATCTTTAACCCCTCTAATTCTAATGTCTTGGCCTAATAACAAAAACACATTTAGGCCTATATATGAATATTAGAACTATACAGTATAATAATATATAAGAGTAGCACTGCTTATAAGATGAAACAAATGTTTAAAAGATATAGCCGCTGTCGTTATTTTAATTGATATAAAATCATCAATATCAGAAGTTTAAGACTAAGTGATTTTCATTAAACAAATGCTTTTTAGAGATCTTTTTACAGTTCTTAAATTGTATCAATAAAAGTTAAACACTATTTCGACACGAAAACAAACTCGTAAACTGTTAAATTTATGTATTTTAACTCCGGCATGGAATGCATTGTATCTCGTTCATGATGGTTTCATTATTTATGACGTTAAAATCAGTTTAAACGTGAACTGAATGCAATGCTTTAACATGATTTAAAATGTATCAAATATTTGAAAACATCTGTTAATAAAAAAGAACTTGATATGTCTTATGCGTATACATTATTACTACAATCGAATTTGATGCATTATTGACACAATTAAAGTTGATACATTATTTTCACAATAATATTTGATACATAATTACCACAATAAAATTTGATACATAATTACCACAATAAAATTTGATGCATTATTTCATCAATTACATATGGAAAATATTTCTACAATTGGATTTCACAAGTACTTTAAAAGTGTCAAGCTTCAATAAAATTACAATTTTTTCGAAACGCGGTGGCGGTGGTGTCGCACTTGTCGTTGTGTCGTCGTCGTTTTCAAACTTAATCTCAAATTAATTGTAGTCTTTTAATAACGATTGTGATTTTTTTGTAAATATGTTTATTTTAAGTTTCTCTTTCTCTCATCGAAGTTCAATATTCTATGCTCTCGAATATGTTAAAAAATGAAGACCGACTATAGATTTATAAAAAAAAATAAAAAAATAAAACAACAAAAAAAAACGATTACATATATTTGGCAATTTCGTCATTTCTCGTATCAAAATATAATCATTGATATCGCGTGCAGATGACAATAACGACGCTTCATTGTTTCATCAAGTCACGGAAAAAGCGGAAAATACCGATCTTTCCCGATCGTTGGATAGATATACTACTTCATAACACTTTTTGGGCTTTCAAACAATTCACCTGTTTTATTGAAACAGAAATATTGCAACATGGGGTTAAGAATTAAAACATGCACACAAATAAAGCTCATTCAAGATTTCGGCCGTGAAACTTTACCCCCCGCCCACACCGTATAACTTCAAAGGTATTTAATTACATTGTCATAGCTTGAGCTCCAGATAATGAGTCAAATGTTCAATTTATCTTGCTAAAAATACAGAAATATAGTCCAATGTTTGACCTTGATGAAATACCGTCTTATGGTCTAATAGATAGTTTATATAATAAAAATTCAGGTTACTAAATACCTGTATAAATACACTACATTTTATCCATTTATTATCAATAAGAAATACGTTATTTAAAAATGCTGTACAGGAGATGTTTCTATAGCCCGCATGTTTTCGAAAATACTAAAATTTTGCTTATAAATTAACCTTATAACAAAAACAGTTTTCGTTAGATTTACGTGTACTTCCGGCCATTTTACGACCGACGCTACAATTGGGGTCAGAAAAAAAAATCCGCTTAGGGACATGTAAGGAAAAAGTCTAGTTAGGTTACGATACGGAAGGTCTGTCGCTGTACCCAGGCGTCTTTTTATTTCTACGCTTTAAAGATACATTTGGTCTTTTAATCGAATGAAGACAAACAATAATCTATTGACTTATGCGAGTATATCGTTGTATCGTAAACCCGAAAATAAAGGGACAATACTAACTATGTATACATGGAATAAAACGACTATAAATTCAATGGAATCGTGAATTTTTTCTAACGATTAATGATATACTTAAGACCATGATTATGAAATGTCAAATATTTCAATGAACGCTGCAATGTACTTAACTTCTACCATTTTAATCTGTTAAATACTCGTAGTTGTGTAAATATTTATAGTTTTAATATTTATGTGTTGTATTAAAACATTTTCATCTAATCAAACATATTCGTTAATCTGTTTACAGATTTGTTAATTACATTGTATGCATTAAACCTTTTTAAGCTTATCTGACTGTGGCTGTCTGCAGACTACCGCATTAAGATGTCACTGACTTTAAACTAATTTTTATTGTACCGTGAACCCATTTTATATTTGTTCAAAACGTGTTTGTTATTAGTGATATTTATCTGAAATATACCTAAGTTTTAGCAGATTACCTTACTTTATAATATTTTTTTCAATTAGGAAAATTAATAGTTCAATTTTATTTGGTGGATTTTTATAGCACAAGGATATATGTTGCCTTTCGCCACTGTTTGTTCGAATCCAGGGACTCTGGATGCAGCTTTGCAGCTTTCCAGCTAGGTTACGGAAGGGTGCTGGTGTCTGAAATCATGTACGGTGACCACCTGAGGTTGGTGACCACCTTTGGGTTTCCGCCACGAAAAAAAAGTAATGAAAATCGCAGTATGTCGTCCATAGTGCCGTAGTGGCTTAGAAACCCACAAAAACAAGGATATACTACTATTTTATTGAAGGATACATAAATAATAATACGTGTAATCATATTAAGTGTTGTTTGTTTTAATTTCAGCGCGGAAATGAACCAGCAGTCAGGTCAAGTCCGGATTGTTGGTCGGGACAAGGAGAAGGAAATGCTGGCGCGACTGGCATGGTTACTGCTAGATGCCGGTACATCCGCTCTCCGTGCCACGTTCGATAGCATACATCCGCCTCTCAATCTGCGGGAACACTTGAGACAGTCGCACGTGAAACCCGTGCTTCAGAGACTCATGCAACAGGTGATTACAAAGCATTTTCTAGTATTATAGATAAGCTCTTCTATCTTATTGAAGTATAGACAATCAACGGATACTTTGCCGATACAATTTATGTTGATGTATATGTATTTAGATTTTAAATGTCTAATTATGTGTTGTCCTGGTGTATTTAACAGGTAAGCACTTGGGTAGAACCTCCATGATTCAAATTGTGTACTTTTTCTGCCTAATGAAATTGTCACCAACAACATCATGGGAAAAGTTTTTTGAAGTTGGTACAGATAATCATTCTGTCACAGCTTATCCTTTATATAGTATTTATATGTTTTATAATATGTATTATATTTTCATACAGGCAATTCTAACAGACAAACAATGGCAACTTTTATATCCGGTCAAGAAGAAACACGTGTCGTCACAGAAATATGACAGCAGAACTTTGATCATCCTCCTTGAGACAATCTGCCATCTTTGTCCACCATACCCTCATGGCTGGGGCAAGGAACCACTCCCTAAAGACGGGTCACTAAGTGCAGATATAGTTCGTCTGCAGCTTCTTTTCCAAGACATTGCAAGACGCGGTAAGAATCATAGTCTGACACATCCCAGTTTTGATACCTGTTTGTGACATTAAGTAACCCTTATTATTTTTACATTTAAAAATTATTTTGTCGGCTGCAGCAGTAATAGTTATTTAATAATTGAAACACATCTGATCGGGAAAACTGTATGTAAGTATGTAAAGTTTTTTAACAAATATTATGATGCTAATTTCTTTCCATAGAGGCTATAGCTGGAGAAGCATATGTTCCGTGGTTTATTCAAATTCGTGACGTCATCGTGCGTCTTGGAGGTCCTCCAATCAGAATCAAGATAACAAGAATAGAGTCTGAGATGATAAATTTAGACATGCAGCAACATTACATTCAGGTAGCGTTTAGCTTTTCCTCTAACGCTTAAAGGAATCATTAGCCTAAAACTGATGCCCTCTTTTGCTGCTCCTATAGCGAAGCCATACTTTTTTCTTTTGCGTTTTAGCAATTAGTACACTTATAGTGATTTAGTATTTTATATGGAAATCAAAATACCACTTTGTGAATTAACATATGCTACCCTTATCACAAACTGTATAACATTCAGGTGATGAGCAACTCACATTTTATAAATTAAACATAAAGCACATATTAAAATTTTGCCCTTTCTTCAAAAAGAAAAATAAATAGTATTTATTTCTTATGTATAGTCTGCCTTTAAGGCTACCCTAATGAGTCTAATAATACTAAAATATAGACTGAATTCTATTTTATCATACGCCTATTTTCGACAATATCTTAAGCATATTTTTTCACGTGAGAGGGTGCTTCTCTACTGTGGCGTCTTTTAGAAAATAACTTAAAAACTTTACTTGGAATCCTATGAAGTCCTGAAAATAATCACATATAAATCTGAGTGTAATATAGTGAACTCGGTTTGTCACAAAACATGACATTAAAAACCGTATAGCCGGATGATGTATCAGAATTCAATTAAGCTAAAGTTGTTTGTATGAATTCGGTAAAATCCGTCATTTTCCCTTTATGATGTATTCACAAAACAGCTTGGTCTTTTGGTCTAAAAAATAGAAAATGTGAAATATGGTTAAAAAAATGAATGTCATATGATTGAACAGTCAAGTCCGTTACAAATGAAACTTACATTAAAGCTTTTAAGTTGATTTGATAAACTTGAATAAATTTCCAAATGTTTTATTCCGAATCATTTGTTTTACAACAGACGCTCAGAGAAACATGGCAGCCGGACGTTATACAGAAACTTGAGAAGGTGCATGAATTTCGCACCAAGACGTCAAAGGTCAGAAAAGCGTATGCTAATTCAAAAGGAGTCGAAGAAGGTAAATTTAGAAAACAAAATTAAAGCATTATATATGGACAATTACAAAAAAGTAAATAATCAAAAGCACTCAATATTGGACAAGAGTCATTTATTAAAATAAATCATTACATATTTGTACTGAAATTCGCTGGTTCCAATTAGTAAGATATACAAATCAAAGTAAGTACGTGAATAAATTTAATTGATCTTCTTAGGCTTTTTAGGATAGTACAAATTAGTAGGCGATAATATTAAATTTCGTAAGATTTACGGATATAAGATTGCTATATACTAGTCAGAAAATTTTGTAGATTTCCTAATGGTCTTTATTTATCAAGGGAAATAAATCAGGCAAAAGTACCTAAAATAAGATTGTTGGCGAGTTTTTCCCCGCCTTTTAAGTAATTATTTTATTTCATACAGGTGTTTGAATATAAAAATGTCATGAAAATTTTGTTAATGGCACGAACGTGAAAAAAATCGTACAAGTTTTATCACGTTTTAATTTTATACACGTGTCGTACAAAAGACAACCTGACACAACGAGGATGTGCGATTAAGTACAATCTCGTCATCTGTTAACGCCGATTTATATGTAATAATGAATAAAAGATGTAAGAGCGATATTTTTTTTGTGTGATCATGATTCTGCAAGCGTCTATAGGTGCTGCTCCAACACTGTAATAGTGAGTTAAATCCTTTGTTAATATACTGATTTTATGTACTTTTCAGGACTTTCACCAGAAGATAGGGCAACATTAAAGAAGACGTATAAACTTCTGGTGGAGAATGTACAAGCAGAAGATGTTATAGATCGTCTGCAGCAGTCACAGGTCATCAAGTTCTCCGACAGACAGGAAGTGCTCAGCGTCTCTAAGAAACAAGAACGCATGCAGGCACGTGATTTAGAATATTTCCTAATGTAAATTCATATGAAATGTATTTATTGGCTTTACAAAAGGTGTCCATCTTTTTTGCAAGGTCAAGTCAATTGTCCTCTTATTTTCATTTCAGATGCTTTTAGATAAGTTGGCAGATTCCAAGCTACCTTATGCACTAAAGGCTTTATTTGATGCAATGAAGTTTAAATACAAAAAGTTATACGAGCACGTGATGGCCATTAGAAAGCAGACGTACAAAGAAGGCGTGGTCAATACAATAGGTACCTTTTCTCAATGAATTTTAATGTTCACAATGAACGCAACATACATTCATCTATGCTGTGCGGCCTGATTAGTACGTACGTTATAGTGTAGCAATATTATAATTAATATAGTTTACGAAAATTATTTGATAACTAGAATTTAGTTTCTAATAATAATGTATGTTATTTTTTCTTCCCTAGATTTGATTCATAGCTTTGTAGGTTAAAGTATGTTTTGAATTGTTGATTTCTTATGGAGTATAAAACACAATTGGTCTTGCTTGATCAATTTAAAGATAAATTACGAAGTTGTTGATAACTAAATTTTCAAAAATGACGGTTCATATATCAATATTAATTTGTATGTTACCTAAATAAGTGTTTTTCACTATCACCACAGATGTGTCCGGCATTGTTCACGAGGCTCTCGTCAGTCATTATAAGACGAAGTTTTCACGTGTTTATCCTTTCCCTTGGAGTGATAATATTCATGGAACCATACGAGATATATACACGCCATTAGAAATTGTTGACAGTAACGGGTAGGTTAACGTACTTAATTTGTGTTCCCTGTATTGTTTTTGAAATTGTGTACATGCATTAAAGTTTAACATTGCTAAAAATGAGAGTTACTTTTGTTTTTTATTGTCTTGATATGGAAGTTATGTATGCATGAGACAAGATATTTTGCTTTATTCATAATCGAACGTCAGTATTTTCGCATTTATTTCTCGATAAGGTAACATTCAAAATGGAATGTATTGAAAAACTCCCCATTTACGTCACATCCGATAGGGGAAGTAATTCTTCCTCGACGCGTTTTACAATTTAAATTTTAATCTTATTATCAAATGTCCTTAATTATTGAGCACAGAATCGGTTAATGATAAAGAATTCGTATTTATTTATTATTTTGTTATTTTTACAGTCACAAACTCCACAGCAATGAATTACTTCCGGCCCCTTGTCCAGCTGGATCCGGTCGCGGAAACCGAATAATGCTTGAAGGAACAAGCGGAAGTGGAAAATCTGTCCTTTGCGCGTGGATCGCATACACGTGGGCAACACATCCGGACTTCTTTAAGAACAAGTTCAAACATCTGTTATATTTGAATTCATCTTCAATGGAGGGTAATTTGGAAACCGCTGTGTACAAAAGTCTGTTTCCGGACAATTTTAAAATTAGCATCAACGAATTTTGGAATATGTTGGAAAGTAGATCGAGCGAAGTTCTAGTCATAATTGACGATTACGACAAAGGTCAAAACGTAGATTTGACCAGCCTCATTTCCGGTTCAAGATTGAGAGAAGGTACCATTCTGAACGCAGTCAATCCAGACTTTGTTCAAAACAATTCATTGACACCGGATATAAAATGGTTCAATTTAGGCTTTAATGAAATTCATATCCGCAGGTGCTTCCGTAACTGTGTGACTTTGTCCGAGTTAGAGCACGAGGACTTTGAGAAGTTATATCATCTGGCTGGTAGAGAGTCTTGGCCCCTTCGTCAGCACCTTGTAAACCCCATGCTTGCTGTTACAGCTTTTGGGGTTTTCAGTGTGCTTCGGAAGGGAACAATGTTGAAAGAAATGAAAACTACCTGCGACTTACTTTGAGAAAAACGGTTTTTCTGCTTTTGGCAACGCTCAAAAAGCGTAGGGCAGAAAATATAATTATTATGAGGGTTTTGAATTTTCCGGGTGAATTTTAAGTGCAAAAAGAAAAAATTAGACAATTTGCTTATGTTGTTTTTGATGGGGAAAAAAATGGGAACTTTACCGAAGCAGACGTCATACAGGAAACGAAGGATCCGATTGTTCTTAAATTTGGTGCTTTTAGCAAGTTTACACAGGGGTCAAAGTTGAAATTCTCATGCGGAATATCTGCTGATTTTCTGGCAGCACGTCATATTGCTGACATGGTCTATGACGACATTGAAACCACAATCTTAAAGAATAAAATGGTCAAATTTTCCAGATACGCTCAGGTATAGTTTTTAGATGGCAGTCATCAAAGATGACTATTTTATACATCATTTTTTCACTTGCCTCTCTTTTAATTCCTTTGATAGGGGCTTCCGCGGCTAAATAATTAAGATCGTTGACTTCAAAGTTCTTGCTCCTCACGGCTATGGGCTCGATTCCTGTCAGAAATTGCGGATTCTTTAATGCAAGGAAGTTTTTCAGATAGCTTACGAAACGTCGGTGGTTCTCGTGTGCCGTTCGTGCCTGGAATAATGCACGGAGGAACACATGAGATTTGCTTCCACCATTAAACATATAATTATCTGGCGCGCTATTCATTTAGTATTAGGTAAAAATGTCCTTTTTAACGTTTGTTTGCATATAATAAAAATAAAATTTGTTTAGTTTAGTGTAAGATCGAAATATATTTCACCTCGTGAACACCAAAAGTTCACATTTCACTCGTGGCTACGCCACTCGTGAAATATACCTTTTGGTGCTCACTCGGTGAAATACATTTGTATATTCCGATCTTACACTGAACTTAACAAATATCCTCTATGTATTGTGAATCGATTCCAATCTAATAAGGTTAAAATTAATGAATGAAGTCATAATCGAAACTAGTCCAATATATTTGTTTCATAACTACTGTTACCTTATTTACAGATGATGTCATTCTTGTATGGACAGTACCGGGACGATATTGACACCCAGATTCTCCAGTCACTATTTGATCAACTTGCTGCAAGAAACGAATATTGTATCCGGGGATTCCATTTACCAGCCCCGTCATTGAGCACGCCTACCGGAAGTGAGGGCAAAGTGAAGGTACCACGTGGTGTTCTTCAAGATTTCGCCACTAGTTTGCAATGTCTCGCAGAATGTCCAGAAAGACAGGACGTCATTTGCACCATCACTCAATCGCTCCCACTAAGGTACTAATTCTATTAACATCTCATTAAATATTTAGTGGAAACTTTATCTTACCGACACTTCTAAGTTCGTAAACATAAAGAAACGTCAACCTTAAGCGGTAGATTGAACTTCTGTTCGGATATCCTTACCGCAGAACAACCAATTTTAGGTTTACTAAATTGATACCTCTAACATATAGAAATAAATTTTATAAGTAAAAGATCGATAAAATCCTCAAAGAATCATAAAGCAAAGGTTTCTATAAAACATTCATTACACCACTAACAAAATTTATAGTCATGATATGTATAAGGGAAACAACTCAAAACAAACTAAAGTCACAACGCCCAGTTGATATAATGAAATAATAAGAGATTTATTTCATATTTGGACAGGCTGATCATCAAGATGGACTCTATGTTAACAATCAAGTGTGTACAGGGCCTCTGTTTGTGTCTGGAAAACAACGAGTGTGTCGTACAAGAGTTAGAAATTGAAGTACACCAGTATCATCATTTTGAGATGCCGCTGCTACTTCGTCTAGCAAAGTCTTTCAGTAAATGTTCGAACCTACACTCTGTCAAAATCACTTGGTCGTCATTAGATGTGATGGCGAAATTTCTGGCCCAGTTAATGGACAACAATCAAGCAATCGACACTGTTGTACTAACTGAAGACCTCAGCAGGAATCCGGTTAATGTTAAACAGATTTCAGCGGTGACTTGGGCGGCGCTTCAGTCCGCTTGTACTAGCATGACATCGGTTGAAAATCTGTCATTCTTGTCTTGTAGAGTGACAGCCATTGTAAACCACGTATTACAGTATATGCCAACAACCATTGCGCATGTCAACCTTACAGGATGTGCCTTGAACCTGATGTGTGCGGGTCAGATAGCGAGCTATCTCCATGGTAACACAGATATACGTTTGTTTGATGTTAGCTACGCAAACATTAACAGTAGTGAGTTTGTAGCTATATTTCAAGGCATGCAGATGTGTGAAGGTATTCAGACTGTGCGTGTGCGTGGGGCACGCCTCGACCGACCGTGCGTTATCGCTCTGGCGGAATACATCAAACTTACACACTCTCTACAGGTCATTGACCTGAGTGATAGCGAACTTAATACGGAGATGTGCACGAGACTTGTCACAGCAATTAAACAGAACAGAACATTACAGAAACTTGTGTTCAATAACACGAGAATAACAGTTGAAGGGCGTAGAGTTATTGCAAAAACAAAGTCCAAGGTTCAACGAGTGTATGTGGAAGGTTTAGTCCCTATCTACGGTTAAACGGAAACAAACGAGAGCACAAGAATCTGCTGCTTGGTTAAAAATAACTAATTACTGAACTAACTGAATATTTATAGTTTGAATCTATGACATACCAGTATAAAGTGAGAGCTTATTAAATTACCTAATGAAGCCTTCCATCAACCTTGACCCCTCAATATTATACATGTAAGTATACACATGTATAGGTCGTCTTCATATATTTCTATTCTAAAATGTATGTTCCTTTGGACACATTCAAAGTTGATTTTAAGTTTTTAAGGTTTTAGATGTAAGAGCGCATTTTCAGTAATATTTGCCACAATAAAATAAGAATTATTGCATTTAAAATAAAAATGTACCGGTAATTTAAAAAAATGACAAGTTCAAACTATTATATGAATATTGATATCAGAAAATTATCTATATACCTTATGTATGTTTTCTTTAATACAGTAACAGTCTTTATTTGAATTTATATTTTTAATAGATATTTTTAAAAGATATTTTTTCTGCATTTAGTATACACTTTTCATTGGAGAAAAAATACACAAAATATACGTAAATGTATGTATATCTTACCGGACAACTAAAGTGAAATATTTTTGATAGTTCACTTACATCTAGAAATGACCAAGTTTTATTTGTAATATAAATATTATTTATTGGCATTATCAGTAAAACTTTTATAAGCAAATGATTGAAATGTTTATTTTTTATTTATTTGAAACTATTCTATTATATAAAATGATGATCTTGATTGAAATATGTAAGAAATAAATGGTAATTTACTATATGATTTTTTACATTTTGTTTATGTCCCACCATTACATTATGAAGACACCAGAACAGAGTTTTGCAAGGTTTTTTTTGTTATACTTAAACAGTTTTAAGCCCCATTTACACAGTCCCGGTTTGGCATCCCGGTTTGCCACGGTTTAGTCCACCGGGATCAACCGTGGTTAACCGGCGTAGAGCCGGAGTGATTCCGTGAAGTACCGGGACAAACCTTGGTGAACCGGGACAAACCAGCAGATCGCCACGGTTGCATTAAAATGTTTAATACAACAGAGGCTCAACGGCACTTACCGGGAAGGAAGCACAGAACCGTGTTCTATCGGCTTGGCACCGGGAATCGTCGGGGAACCACCGTATCTATACCGCATCCATACCGAGCAAACCGTATTAAGTAGGGATGCGTGTTAATCACGGCAGAGCCCCGGTAATGACACGATGTCGTCACGATAAAAACAGGCAGAGCTACGGTACAGCCAGGGTACATTGCGGTTATTGGCGACAACGCTCCGGTTGGACCCGGTAATGTCCCGGATATTGCCGGCAAGTCCCGGTTATACAACGGCGATAGACGGTGGCGTCACGACCTCATGCCGATAACAGGCAATTTTAAGAGCAGGTATATGTACACTTGAAGTGCTACTTTGGATAATTTTGTTAAGTGAAGACGAAGAAGGGCCATTCTCTGCTATTTCTTCTGAGGCGAGCTTTCCTTACTGTCCTTCCCGGGGTCGTTTCAAAAGGTACCTCAACCTCTGTAGGCGTTGTAAGCACATTTTTCCAACTTTGTCCCCACTTTCCTTTGGGTGGCATCTCTGCTGTCTTTTTTACCAAACGACTGATGTTAACGTGGTCAAGCAGTTTTATTCTCATAATTTTGAACTTGAAGAATCAGCGCATTATCGGGGAATCTCCGGGACAGTACTGGCTTTACCCGTAGCTTAACCGTGGCGAAATCGGCGATGGTCGGGATGGACCGTGATGAAACCGTGTCTAGTCTGATCTCCACCCGGATTAACCGGAAATACACTGGGTTGGCATCGGCACTTACCGTATATATCGTGCTATATCGGGTACTAAACCGGGAATTCACCTGGACTCTTTCAGGGATGTGTTAAAGCAATTTGATTTTTCAGAAAAATACCACAAAACATCCCGGTTCTTAGGTTTAAGACACCGTAGCGATACCATGGCAATTACCGGGACAGTGTAAATGGGGCTTAAGAAAGAAAAGCAGTGTTAATTTTCATGTTATCATCAACTTTGATATTTAACATCGAAAAGTCGAAAAGAAAGATTACAAGTGTTACGCACGAATGTAAAACATCAAGCAGAAATTACGCGGAAGGGGGGCGTTAAAAACCAAAATCCTAATTTTTTCCCCTTTTTTTATCCCAAAAAAATATTTAAATTTTTCCAATTTTTTTAAAAAAATTTAAAAATTTTTAAATTTAAACCCTAAATACTGGGGTTTTTAAAAGCTTAAAAAAAAATTAATCTTTTAAAAAAATTTAAAATAATAATTTTGTACAAAAGAAATTATCCCCAAATTAGATTAAACTTATTGTAATATTTCCCAAAAAATTTCTGAAAAATGATTATTTCACCTACATTATTTTAAAAAAAAAAATTTTTTGATCGAAAAAATTTTAAATTTTGGAAAAATTTTAAAACAATTTTTTGAAAGAAACAAAAAATTAAAATATTTTTAACGCAACAAAAGGCATTCCTTACACTTGGAACCATGGTTAAAAATTTTTAATCCTTTTCCCCAAAAGCATTTTAAAAGGGGGGTTTTAAACTTTTAAATTTTTAAAAAAAATTTAAAAAAATTTAAAAAAGTCCCATTACAGAATAAAATTTTTTTTTTTAACTTTTTCCGGTTTTTAAACCCAAAAAAGGGGGGAAATTAAAGGGTTTTTCGTCCAAGCGTCCCCCCAAAACCCGAAAATTGGAAAACCCCCCAAACCAAGGGAAAATTTTTCTTTAAACGAGGGAGAACAATTTGGGAAAAAATATAAAGGAAGGAATTTTTAAAGCAAAATTTAAGAAACCCTTTTTTATTTTTTCCCAAAATTTAGAAAATTTTGACCCCCTTTAAAAAGCGGGAGTTTTAAACTACAGGGAGAACAAAAATGTTTAGATTTTTAAAAAAAATTTTTTTAAAAAAAAAAAAATTTCCTTTTTAAATTTTTTTTAAAAAAAAAAATTTTTAAGCCTCCCAAACCTGGGAATTTTTTTAAATTAATCAAAAATTAATTTAAAAAAAAGAAATTTTTTGTGCGTTTTTTTTGGCCCTTTGTTGAATTTTTCACTATATACCATATATATGTTGTCAGTGGGGGCATCCGTGTCCTTTGGACACAGTTCTAGTTTTGTTAATAGTTTGATGTCTGATTTGATATTGTTTCAAGCAAATGTTTGTAAAAATGTATGTTTAAGTGATTGTCCGAAGGCCTCGAGGAAGGTAGGATTTATCAAGTTACCTTCAGTAAATAAAGTAGATTTATTTATTCATTCATTCATTCATTCATCTATGCACTGATAATGATGGTGTGCTGTTTTAAAATAATAAAAAGGAAACTTTTAAAGACCTGTTTTCTGTTGACGATATATTATTATTTCATAAATAACCGTCACGTGGTTAAAGCCTGATAACAGCAATAAAAAGCACTTTTTTGTTATTGATATGTCCGTATTTTTATGTTGTTACTGTCACTATCTACTTAACAGGGACTTAACCAGGCGTACCCCTGTACGTCCGTGCGTACAGATCAACTAAGTCTCAGTGTGGTGTATGTGGTGGACTAACGTAAACTTGACAGCACCGTCCAGCAGCCCCGTTTTTTTTTCTGACGGAAGCAATTTTCTTAGCAAGCAAGGCTCTGTACCTATGAAAATTTCATATATTGAGTAATAAGTAATTAAGTAAAAATTACAACTGATTATTGTGGGTGACATCATGCGCTCTAATTCATGAATTCGTGAAATTATGACGTCACAATAATCATACTAAAACATAATTCATTGAATTTTGTTTCATTTTTTTTAAATGCTGTTTACAAAAAAAATATGTAGATCTACATTCATTCTTGATAAATTATTTTCATTAGAATTCAAATATTCACACATTTGCAATTGCTTCTTGGTGTTTGTTGTTGTTTTTGTTGTTTTGTTTTTTTTTATTATTATTTATTTTATAAAACACGAAAAATATGCATGTAATCATTAATGCAATAAATATACAAATCATTTCCCTGTTGCGTCATCTTACATCAAAATAGCAACTTCTATAGTATATACTTCGTAACAAAAAGAAAAACTTCATATTTTAATCATGCCCATTAACAATGCACACTAAGATTGAAGTTTTAAGCTTGAGAAAACAAACAGTCTCAGTTGAGAGAATTCTCAAATGTTGAGAAACAGGGTCCAAGGTTATAAAAAATTCTCTAAGCTCAAACTCAGATCTCAGATTGGTCAAAAAATGCCACAGAAAGTACACTGACCAATGGAAATCATTAAATTTGAGACAGAACTCAGAAAAAAGTTTTATAACCTTGAGGCCTCTTAATTGAGAGCCAACTTGAGATTTTTCTCAGGTGAGTAAGAGTCTCAGTCAATATTGAGACAATCTTTGGTTGAGATTGGTCTCAGTTTGAGAACATTAGTGAAGCCGGGCGAGCTAGTAAAAGTACTAACTTAGATGCACATATAGAGTGAATTATATATGAAATAATAGAGGTATCTGCTGGCACATTATCATACAGATATTATAACACATAGATGTATCCCGATATACATAAATATTATTTTGGAAGCAATTTTACACCATCGAAGTTATGACTAAACGTTAAGCAGCACCTAGGTGCCCCACACGTTGGGCGCAAATGGTCGCAGCTCAAATACAACTTTGCTGTCCGTTCAAAAGCAGGGGTCACTGAGTTCGTAAAAAATGACAAGAATACCTTCTTTCAATATTTATTGTTTTTCTAAAGAAACACAAACTGGCAGCAACAATTTCTCAGTTTAAGTGCACATTGTGCAAATTAGCAAAACAAAATAAATAAACAAACAAATAAATACATAAACATTTATAAAAATACTACTAAGAATTTTCTAAGGTTATCGCCCATGAGCTACAAAGGTAGAAATTTATGTTTTAAATTTTACAAAAACAAATGAGCCGCGTCACGACAAAACCAACATAATGGGTTTGCGACCAGCATGGATCCAGACCAGCCTGCGCATCCGCGCAGTCTGATCAGGATCCATGCTGTTCGCTTTCCAACCCTAGACCAAGTAGAGAAACTGATAGCGAACAGCATGGATCCTGATCAGACTGCGCGGATGCGCAGGCTGGTCTGGATCCATGCTGTCCGCAAACCCATTATGTTGGTTTTGTCGTGACGCGGCTCAAATACAAACACGTGTAAACACATGTATATTTGGTGATCTTTATAATAAGACTGAAAGATAATATTTTGAAAATTTTGTATTGTATGTTTTTGACTTTATGAAATCTTAG